TAAATTTTATTTAAGAGACTTATATCTACTACTTTTATAAGATTATATAACGATGGCAATAAAGAAGATTAAAATGGATGCATTGTTTGATGATCGCTTGTTAGGGATAGAAGTACCAATGATAAGTCACCTATTGTTAATTAAGTTAAGGAAAACCTGTCATTGGCCATACTTTTAGAAATGTATCTGCTGTAAAATTTGTATAGGAAAAACGCTGTTGGTTTTCTAAGAAAATAAATAAATAAAACGAACTTCCTTTTTTAATTATATCTGATTCTTGGAAAAAACGGTAACGGTGAAAAATGGAAAATGAACAACCTTATGACCCACAAAATAAAATATCAATCTCTTCAATTACGCCGTAACGTGGCGTCACTAAGCGCGTTTTATCGTCTGTACCACGGCGAGTGTTCTGAAGAGCTATTCTCTATTATTCCACCTTCCCCTTTCTTTCAGAAGACCACGCGCGCTGGCTTTCGGTGTCACCGTCTAACTGTGGCTACAATTCCAACGCGTACAAAGAAATTTGGTGACTCATTTCTTTGTCGCACTATCCGTAAATGGAATTCTCTGCTTGCTCACGTGTCCCTCCTTCTTACAACCTGGGATCCTTTAAAAGAGGCGAGAAGAAGCAACAGGCAGGCTGGCAAGGTGAGGATTGCTGGTGGGGAAGGTAGAACTGCTTTACCAGCTATCTTCACGTCTGGACTTCAACATCACTTAACATCAGGTGGGGTGGAGCCATTTGTCGGACATATCTTTGTAAAAAAAAATCAGTCATTAATTAAAAAAAGGACCAAGAAATATAAGCCAATAATTATTTCAAAATCATAGTGAGACGACTCGCGTTTAATCAAAATCCAGTAAGACTGAGAATTGATGTCATCACCATAAATCCAATTCGTTTTATCAAATCATTCCACGATAAAAATAATGGAAAATAACTAGGATTTTTCTATTCGCAAAGGCTTAATAAAGTTCCAATAAAGAGTCACAATCATAGTTGCAAGTTAATATCTTTCAGTTCAATGGAGTATGAAGAAATATTATTTACTTACGTAATACGTATACCTACGTCTACGTCTAGTAGTCGTGTATCGGCAAAATAAATAGATTACAAAGTAAGAAAAAGAAAAGAGATCGACAAAAAAAATAATTATCTATACATATAATAAAATGGTAAGAAAGTCAAAACTGCGCATTGAATATTTTTTTAAAAGAATACTTGGGGTGTGATCTAGAATTAACACCGAAGCCAAAAATATAGTTTTTAGAATTTTATCTGATTGTCTGTATGTATGTCCGGGATAAACTCATAAAGTACTGCATGGATTTACTTCAAATTTGGCACGAATATTATTAAGAAGTCGGGTCAACATATAGACTACATATTATCACGCTATCTCCTACGGGGAATGAGCAGTGAACCTTTATTTCTAACTAACTCCACGCGTACGAAGTCGCGGTCGGCCGCTAGTAGCATATATATTTACAAGAACAAAATATTTACAGATAAAGAATATTAAAAAAAATAGGGATATAGTGTGGATGGATTGAGGAGCTCGATGGCGCAGGTGGCTAGCGCGTTCGGCTGCGATCGTTGAAGTTAAGCAACTTTCGCAGTGGTCGGTCATTGGATGGGTGACCAAAAATTCACTATCTCGAGCTCCTCCGTGCTTCGGAAGGCACGTTAAGCCGTTGGTCCCGGCTGCATTTGCAGTCGTTAGCACCCACCAATCCGCACTGGGCCCGCGTGGTGGGTCATGGCCCAATCTCCCTATTCCATCCATAGGGAAGGCCTGTGCCCCAGCAGTGGGGACATTAATAGGCTGATGATGATGATGAGTGTGGATGTGTGAAGTGTGGGAGTGTGAAGTGTGAAGTGTAGAGGGTGTGGGTCGTCGGCTATCTCGGTATCTCGGTTTTGAATATTCATAACTTGTAGGTATGCAAAAGCATCTTGATCTTCATCAGAGGACGACATTGTCGCGAATGCTTTTGTACTCTGGCATCTCTCTGGCTCATCCTACAAAGCATGCTTTTGAACTCTGGTTCATCCTATAAGGTGATGGAAAATCAGGCGTCTGTCACAAAGCTTTGGTGGGCACAGCGCCTTAGGTTTTAGATACAGCCAATCTGTTAACAGCCGAGCTATGCTCGGGCGTCATTGGCCGATTGAATCAAACTTCAAAATGTATAAATTCAGTCGGGTGCATGTCAACGGACGATGGCGGTTGTAGTACGCACTCTTTTTTTCACATACGTTTTGATTTGATCCAATATGTTTGTCCAATGACGGCCGAGTACAGTTCGGCCGATAACGGATTTGGTGAATTCTGTCCCCGTAGCATGAGCACCACCATTTACATTATATCATGTTTTTTATTTCGCCTAAGTGTCAAACTCCATAGTAATTTGACCATTTGAGGTTATATATCATATCGCGGTGCTCATGCGAGGGGGCAGAGTCTTATAATACTTCTATCCGTGCGACTGACAGCCTTATTCAGAAACATCAAATTAATTTAATGCATCCTTAGTAACGTGTTGTTTCATTCTGTTCTTTTCGCAATGAAAGTATCAATTTTAGTCAAATTTAAATGACTGCCTTTCGTAACTGCGAAATATACATGTCGCAGTAAGATAGATAAAACCGAAATATAATTATAGCCCTAGGGCTATGATTACATACCGTAACATAGTTATACGAAAGTGTCTAGGGAAAAAGAATAAAATATGCAAATAATGAAAGCCACGCGCCATTTATTTGAATAAATCTGCCAAAATTAAAAAAATAACTTTTTTTTTCAATGTTTTTGCAAGCGCACGAGCTGGCTTTGCACCTGATGGAAAGTGGTGACTGCCTGCCTGTTTCCTTGTTAACTTTACATCATGTGGAATTAAAGTAAACAACTAATCTGAAAGACTTGATTTAGTGAATATTGATTAGATATTATTATTGCAAATAAGCAAATATGGTGAATCGAATTGCTTTCTAAAAGAAAAATATCCATTTGCTCAAAATGCATCACAACATCTTGCCTTTCCTAACACGAAACACGTTCAAATTACATCACACCAACTCCATTAATAATCAATCAATACAATATTACCATAGATATTTCAATATCTTGCCGCAATTTGAAATTCAGATGCCTCCACGTAATATCTCATTAGAATTAAATTCTTTTGAGGTACATTTCAATATTATATTCTCATTCGTCGAGATACGAATAAAGGCGTCTGAAATCGTGCGTGCGTTTCAATAAGGGCATGCGAACAGTTGAAAGACCGGAATTACTTACAATGTTAAAGGAATCCAACCAATCCAATATATCTGAAAGTTTGTACCGATGTTTGTTACTCAATCAAGCAAAAACTACTGAACGGATTTTGGTGAAATTTGGTACACATTAGTTTTTGACCTGGATTGAAAAATATTAGGATTCCGTGGGATTTTCAAAAAAACTAAGTTGTCGAGGACAAATACTTAGGCGGCTGCTAAAAAAAGTGACTGAAAATCAGAATTGACCAAGGTTGGCAATTTTTGTAAGAATTTAAATAGATACGAGCAAATGACACCTTTGGTGCAATGACGTCTATGTAATTTAACCGATGTTTTGAAACGGCATTACAAAAATAATCAAGAAAAATAGGTATATCATACATCACAGCAGCAGCCTATTAATGTCCTCACTGCTGGGGAACAGGCCTTCCTTATGGATGGAATAGGGCCTAATATATGGATATAGATGGAATAATATGGATGGCCCAATCTGGCCATGACACACCACGCGGATTGGTAGGTGATAACGATGTACAGATTCAGCCGGCATCGAAGCGCGGAGGAGCTCGAAATAGTAAAATTTTGGTCGCCCATCCAATGACCGACCACTGCGAAAGTTGCTTAAGTTTAACGATCGCAGCCGAACGCGCTAACCACTTGCGCCATCAAGCTCCTCAGGTATATCACAAGCAAACTTACTTAACTACGCTATGGTGAAAAAAATGAGAGAATTTCAAGAAGGCTAGAGTACCCTTAGCATGAGTCACAATCGAATTCGGATAGTTGAATTGACATCGTTACGAGTCAAATGTCAAGAATGAAAAAGAAATGTCCTGTCTACGGCCTGGAACGTTCTTGAGATTTCAACATCTAGCAGTTTCATGCGTAAAAAATTAAAATATTATCAATGTCAAGAAATTATTTATGGAAGTTTATTATTCTCATTGCGTTCGTTGTGGCACAGTTCAAATTTCCATACAAAATTTATTGCAATATCGTGCGTACCGAGATCGAATTCAACTACCCGAATTCAATATTGGTTTGTACTAAGGGTACAGTATAGTATAAAGTACAGGGCTGGTCACATTAGCCGCAGAATTGCCGGCCGTTGGAGCCGGAAAGTTCTTGAGTAGACACCACGACTCGGTAAACGGACGCCCTGAGACAAGATGGGATGATGACATTCGTAGGCTGGCTGGAGTGGGCTGGATGAGAGTGGCAGAAAATCGAGAGCAGTGGCGTGCATTAGGGGACACCTATGTCCAGCAGTGGACGAGCATGGTTTGATGATGATGATGATGATGAAGGGTACAGAAGTTAAGAAGGACAAAACAGACGGCTTGGTATCATGTCTGCTAGAAAAAAGGTTCTGCGAATCTCGTTCAAAGTTCGGTCCCCAAATTGTAAGAAGTATACAGTAAGCGTACTGGCAGGAAATTCTCGGATCGAAAAAGCCGCCAAAGGAGCGACTCGAATATAAAAAAGTATCGTATCAAATGAGGTTAAAACCTCCTCGCTTTATTATCGGAACACATTACGAACATGCATATTGCATTATAATAAACCTCCTTAGGGCTCCAAAACATCGGTTGATATTACGATAAAAGTTACGTGCAATAAAAATTCTGCTCCAGCACGCTTCGTGAATGGTAATATACCCTGTCTCAATTTGTAAGATTTGATATTAGCATACTACACGTTCGCTTTTGAATTATTATATTTCAAAAGCTTTCTCGGGTCGTGGAACTTTGTCTCTGTACAGTTGACGAGAGAGAGACCTTCGTTTCCCTTCAGGGAGCTTAGGACAATCGATGATAAAACTGTTCGAGCGGCGGATTTCTTTTAGAGAAGGGTAGATTTTGATAGTGACAGAATTTTCCTGTGACTGCTAACGCTACATGTATTTCTCTTTTGCTTGCAGAATTTATGAAAAATATAGTTCCTTGCCTCGCTGATGGTTACTAATATATTCTCAAAAAAAAACTCAAAACACTTAATTTTAAAGAAAAAATTACACGAATAAATTCCACGCGTACCAGGCAGTAGACGGGACTCGAACCCGCAAGCTTCGCTATCCGGGCATTCGCCGCGGTAGGTATACTTCGGCTTCGGCTTCGGCTGATGGCCGTGTCGAATTCTTTCTAGCCTTTCTTAAGCTGCAAGGCAGCGCCATCTCTTCGCATCGTAGATGTATATCTACGAAGAGATGACGTACGTATACGTATATACGATGGCGAGATATACGATAACCATTATGTAATGCGTATGTACGATACATTGTGATAACCCAATAACATCATTTGGCCATGACCATGACCATAACCATAACCATAACCATAACCATAACCATAACCATAACCATAACCATAACCATAACCATAACCATAACCATAACCATAACCATAACCATAACCATAACCATAACCATAACCATAACCATAACCATAACCATAACCATAACCATAACCATAACCATAACCATAACCATAACCATAACCATAACCATAACCATAACCATAACCATAACCATAACCATAACCATAACCATAACCATAACCATAACCATAACCATAACCATAACCATAACCATAACCATAACCATAACCATAACCATAACCATAACCATAACCATAACCATAACCATAACCATAACCATAACCATAACCATAACCATAACCATAACCATAACCATAACCATAACCATAACCATAACCATAACCTTAACCTTAACCTTAACCATAGCCTTGGCATGATAAATACCTTATACCTTGTTATCCATATAACCATAAATAATCATATAACCGTATGTTTGATTTGGCTTGACAAAAATTTCACTAATATTTTTTCCACGAAACCAAACACTGTCGACATTGATAAAATAAAACGCTTACTATGACTGTATATTTATTTGATATGCAGTTAACAGCTTATTAATTAGATTTCTTAAAGAAACTTACAAATCATATAATGAATCATAAATTCAATCAAAAGTACTTGCAACATATCATGGATGAACGAAAATATAATTATATAAAAAATAGTCTAATTAATTTTATATATAATAATATAAAACATAATATAATACAAACATATATAAATAATATAAACATAAACATAGCGCTAATAATATTAACACAATTCTAGACTACTACGGTTGTTTTGCTAAATTGTAATATTGTGTACTTGTCATGGTTCAGAAATAAAGATTATTATTATAATTTTTATTACTTTAAAGAACGCACTGCTTGATGTTTAACTCTAAAGAAAATATAACTAGAAAAAAAAAGATTATTATTATTAACATGCATAACAACTTACCTAATCAAAATATCTTTGAAACGTTTTGTGTATTTTAATTTATCCTCCTGTTAAAAAGTCTGCTCTATAGAAGCTTTACGTGTCTATATTTACTACTGATGCGGTAGTAGTATAAGTCGCGGCACGAAACTCTAGCGCAGACCGTTATTGCGCAGAAGTAAGAATTAAGATGTCTTGGGGGGGAAACGAGGTGCGCGGGTGGGCGAGCGTTGCGCCGATTGGCTCTCCAGTCGTACCCATGCGCAGCTATCCCCTCCGCGTTATGTTCAGCGCTATAGCGCTATACTACATACAGGTCGTCCTGTAGTAGTGTAGTTCGTTCTCAGAGTCGCCCTCTAGTTGAGCCGACCCACTCAGGTTCGAGTGGTCTAGAGGCTCCAGACAGAGAGGAGATTTCCCCCGTGAGAAGATGCCATCGGCCTGGAATACCTCTAGAGGCACTCGCTAATTCTCGGCTTAAGGTCCCCTTACGATCTCGCTGTCCCCAAACCCGGTAACACTGTAAAGGTTATCTGCGACCAATAGCATATACACTCAAAAAAAAGTGTAGTTAACCCACGAATGGGCTGGGTGCATGTTCGTAATCAATAACTAACTTGTTCATTCTTCGCAGCGTGTACACTGCAACATGATATTTAGTCAATGAGGAGAGGTAGGGCATAGCGGATTCTGCGGTCAAATTGAAGCGTCCGTCTGGGGAATTATTTTCCACCTTACAGCAGATCGGAATAAAATAACACTATCTTTGGTGGTGTTGTTTTTGTCGGTGAGCAAGGTTCCAGGGTTCCACGGGGTAGAGAATTGGGTAGGGTAGGCAATGGACCGAGTGATATTATTGTCATCGCTAGTCTATGGTGGCCCCTTAAAATCAGGCGGGCCATATGCTATTCTGCTACGCTATTAAGGTAAAAAAAATATGACGTTTTTATCTCGTATAACTCCATAGTACTTTGACAGTTTTAGCGTGATAAAAGCTTGATTATACCGTGGTGCTCATACTAGAGGGGAAGACCTTGGTTCCAATATAGCATTGCCGTATTCCATTACTCTTAAAAACGTGTGGTTAAATACCTTCCAGTCCAGTGAATCTAATTCATACCTACCCATTCATAATTCATAAAATTAACTCATTACCAAAACAAGCGTAAGCAAACACCTACTCCAAGCGAAAGCATCACAAAGTTCCAGGTGGCATAAAACAAAGCCTACGGGCGGCCATCGTCACATAAAACCAAACTTTTTGATAATAATTATAAATGTACATAATTAGCTCGCACCCAACACTCTTGTACTTTAAGGTTTGCATTATAATACGTAATATTATTACGAAGTATTATTGTCTGTGATTTGAAATTCGAGCCTTGAGGTACTTAGGTTAATTTTTGACAAAGTTTGCTTTGTGAATTATGCTTTTAGGACGAACGTCCTAAACCTTTGTTAAATGTTGAAACAACTGGACTCGTTGATAAAGATAAAACAGTGTAAGGAGATTTATTGTCAACCATTATTCTCTTTGCGGGCCTTACCATACGCGCTTATAAGGGCATTCTTTTGATTTTACTTTAAATTCCATTTGATATTGAGCTACTTTTTATATAGGAGGTTTAAGAAAATCTTACATGAAATAAATAAATATCAATCTTACAAGAAATAAAGAAAGATATTTTAAAATAAAGTAGTTACAAACCTTTTGAACACATTTGCTCAAAAAATGCATTGACGGATTTTGTATATGGAAACAAAACAAAAGATATGGAAGAACCATAACATAATGAAAGCCACAAAGACCCGGCTCGTTCTGGAGAAGAACACTTGTGTTCCCGATATTTTTGTATGCCTCAGAAGCCTGGACATTACGTGAAAGTGAGAGGGTAGATGCTCTCGAAATGTGGTGCTGGAGAAGAATGCTTGGAATATCATGGTGCGAATTTCGAACCAACATTTCAATTCTCCAGGAACTCGGCATCAAGCAACGGCTTGTCCAGGCCCGCATCCTTGCTTTCTTCGGGCACGTGTCTCGCCGTGGTGAAGCCTCCATCGAGGGTCTCGTCGTTCAGGATAGAGTTGAAGACACCCAAGCACGCGGTAGATCGCCAACCAGATGGACTGACCAAATTAAAGCCATAACCAATGATCCTCTACACATGTGCACAAGGAAAGCTGCCGTGAGGGAGGTAAGGCGTCGCTTTGTGCAGCGGGTGACCGCCACTGAATCCGCCGATGACGCTGTAGTAACGGCCACGACCACTCTGCCAAGAGTGTTACGACTAAGAAGAAGAATATGAAAAGGCAAAATCGCTAATACGCCACTTTAGTCGACAATGAGTTTTATATTGTCATTTTAATCAGTTTTTTTTTCTGTTTGTATCGTGAAGATTTGAGTACTTTTTTGGCGTTTTAGCAACTCAGTTTTTTGAAGATTTCTATTGTTCACAACACTGAAGCGACATAAATTTTGGTGTTTTTTGAACCAATGGCGCTTTAGCCCTACTATTTGGCGTATGATTTGATGTTTGCTTGACAAAAAATGTAGAATTCGTAAAGTAAAGGAACTATGTAATTTTTTAATAGGAAGATATTTAGAAAAAAATATTTTATGAATACGTTTTTATTTTTATGGCTCTACTTCTCATTTACGATGAATTAATTTTTTTTTGTAAAAAAAACAATTGATCCTCGTTTCTGTAAAGTTACTTAAGTGACGTTGAAGCGATTTTGCCTTTTCACTGTCTACAATACTTGTATGTACAAGTATTGTTCGAAAGTTCAAAATTACGCGCACATACAACATGCACATAGATACGCAATATAGTAACAGTCTTCAAATTCTTCGCTTCGCTGAACCGAAGAATTAGTATCCGGTGTCCCTGTCATGTGTCATTTCTCATTTGGTCCTCTTTAGAACGCAAGTATTATGTCTTTACTAAGGAAGTTATTTATAAATGTTACCTTTCTTAACAGCGGACATAACGATAATTCATGTTTTAACCGACTTTAAAAAAGGAGGAGGTTGTCAATTCGCCGGTTTCTTTTCATTTTATGTATGTTCGCCGATTACTCAAAGAAGTTAAAACCGAATCAATATAGATTATAATCTATATTGATTAAATAAATTATTAAAGCAATTAAATAAATATTAGATTATAATCTAATATTTATTAAATTGCTTGTAAAGGTGTACGAAATCGAGGGAATTCTTCAAAAATTATAAGCTATTCTGTTCCTTGTAAGTATACCATTACACAAGCCTTACAGTGCTTAATTTGGGGTCAGGCTAATGAGGGGTTCCTGGTATGACGGACACCAAGTAGCAGCACTGGGGCGAAAGGTCTGCTCATCTGTCAAATCGCGTATGTCGTCATAGTCTATGGATCAATTTTAATGGTCGTTCGATTATTTCACGCCAAAAATGTTACGTGCCAAATAGTAACGTGGATTTTCCTAAACACCCTTATTGTTGGAGTTCTGTAATGTTCATTTATTTATTCACCGATCCCCGACAACGAAATCACCCGTGCCACGCGACGACACGCTATACCAGGTACAGGTACGTTACTAGAGCCGAGGTTACTCAGAGACGCCCTCTAGTTGAGCCGGCCCCCTCAGGATCGAGTAGTCTGAAGACGGAGAGGAGACTCCCCCAGTGGGGAGATGCAATCCGTCTGGAATACCACTAGAGGCACTCGTCAATTCTTGGCTTCAGGTCCCCTTAGAATCTTGCCTTCCCCAAACCTGGTGACGCTGTAAAGGTCATCTGCGACCAACAGAATACAAACACTCAAAAAAAAAATTGTGTGCCGCACGACTGGAGTTTACTCCTTAAGTTCGATAGTCTAACCAGACGCAAAAAGAGTTTATTTAACTTAAAAAAGATTGATACTGTATGAAAGGGTAAATTAACAAATTAATGAAAATAATATACATATATAAATATATATTTATTCATTTCATATACATTTATTATAACTAATCGACGAAATATTTTACATTAAACTTTTTACGATAGTCAATTTCAGATGTGCATAAATATATCATTAGGAATGTTGATAAATTATGTAATTATTATTATCAGACTATTGTATTTTTTTTTAAATATTAATTAAATCAACATTGTCTGCATTATTAATTACAGTGACAAGTGGTTTATGTTACCTAAAATAAGACACATGGACGTTCGTAGATACGTGGTTCACGAATCTTAAAAATACCGCATAAATGGTGGTACCATACTTCGTTGTCCCCATTGCTCTATCAGAAACAATATCTAATTTCAGTTACTTTTGCTAATTTCCGTAAAAGAAAAAACGGAGGAGGGCCTCTTGTTTTTTTTAATGTATGACCACTCATAACTTTTTACAGAGTTGTCCAATTTTGACAATTCTTTTTTATTAGTGTCGCCGCACACGGGCCATACGCCACAGCCACAAACGCCGCCACGAGAAGCTAGAAGCGGCTACTAGTGGCTGAAGCGCGCGACAGCGGCCGACTAAGGCAATGGAGAGAGGGGTGGGGAATCACGCGAGGGACGTGTGGCGGCGTTAGGTATCGGCGCATTAAGTGGCCGGTGCGGGCCACAAGAAGCGAGCAACGACGATTTGTAGCGTGTGGCGGCCACCGGCGTACCGTGTGTGGCGAGTCCATATGAAATGTATGAAAACTACAAGAAATATGCCGGTGGCGGCGTTTTGTGGTTGTGGTCGGTGGCCCGTGTACGACGACACTTAAAAGCATGTATGACGTATCATTATTGACGACCTCCGTGGTCGAGTGGTTTGTACGCCGGGTTTCATGGTGTCGCCGACTCGAGAGGTCCCGGGTTCGAATCCCGGTGGGGGCAGATGTTTGTGTGATGAATTTGCATTTGCAAACAAGCATTTGTGCTCCAGTCATGGCTGTTTAATATGTATTTCTATATAAATATATATGTACAGTATATGTATTCTATCCGTTACTCCTAGCATCTCATAACACAAGCCTTACAGTGCTTACTTTGGGGCTAGGCTAATTGGTGTGAGTGTTGCAAATATTTATTTATTAACTTTAAAACATCATAGCAGTTTACGTATTAAGAGTTTCTTATACAACAACATTTAATTTTTAATAGGACATAAAGCGAAACTTTGCTTTCCAAGTAAAAAAATACTAGAACATTCTGAGCTCGAAAAGGTTCATGTTATCTTTCTAAAATAACATTTTATTATCTCACATATATCAATGTGAAGATCAAAAGACAACTTAGGTTCATGTGAAGGGGCTAGGAGCAATTGAAGCGGCTCCCTTCTTTGATAAATCGTTATAAAAAGGCACCGTCATAGAGTTAGTTTCTTTTTGCACAAACTCATAATAAAGTTGGCTTTATTATGACCTCTCTCATGTGGTCTTTTTATAGGCAGAGCAAGGAAAAACAAAATAATACCAGTAGGTAAATAATAATAAAAAGAATATCTAATATAGACACCAATCAGACTAGCCCCAAAATAAGCACTGTTAGGCTTGATGTTATGGAACACTAGGGCAACGGACAGAATACTCAATGACGCAATTGGTGAGCGCGTTCGGCTGCTATCGTTGAAGTTAAGCAACTTTCGCAGTGATCGGTCATTGGATGGGTAACCAAAAATTTATTATCTCAAGCTCCTCCGTGCTTCGGAAGGCACGTTAAGCCATTGGTCCCGGTTGCGTCTGCAGTCGTTAGCACCCACCAATCCGCACTGGGCCCGCGTGGTGGGTCATGGCCCAATCTCCCTATTCCATACATAGGGAAGGCCTGTGCCCCAGCAGTGGGGACATTAATAGGCTGATTATGATTGATATATTAAAAAAAGTTTATTTTTATTCAGAATAAAGTATAATAAACATCCATGAGTTAGGTAAAAAATGCTCGTATTCATCACATAAACAATTGCCCCACCGGAATTGAACCCGGGACCTCTGAGTAGGCGACACCTTGAAAACCGGCGTATATACCACTCGAGGCACGGAGGTCGTCATAAATACAGACAGTATAGACGTTACTGTTATTTGCTTTTAAGTAAGTAAGTCCAGTATTATTACTGTAATCGTTGCCGAACTTAACGGCGCAGTGACTAACGCATTCGGTCTGCCATCGTGGATGCCAAGCGACTTTCGCAGTGGCCGATCACAAGATGGGTGACCAAAAGTTTTTTTCTTTTTGTCGTGCTTGAATATGCACGTTAAGTCGATGTACTGAATATATAGGGTGTAAAAAAACCTTTAACGAAGTCGAAGGTCACCTTTTTTTCCACATCATGACGATCTTTTTTTCTTTTGGACCATATCTGGGAAATTTATGGTTATGGAGATATTGAAGGTCAAATTTTTCAAGATTTATGTATTAATATTTTCAAAACATTATTTAGAAACTTTTTTATCGATCACTTACACACACGCACACACATACACACAGGCACATTCCTTGCGTAGCGCCACAGTAGCGTGCCGGCTATACGTTGCTTACTGGAAAAATTTTTTTTTTTTTTTAAAT